TCTCGCCCACCTCCTCTTCCTCCTCCTCCTCCTCCTCCTGTCCTCCTCCTCCTCCTCATCATCATCATCATCATCATCATCATCATAATCATCATCATCATCATCAAAATCTCATCATCATTTTCATTCATCAGCATCATCAGCATCACATCATCAGCATCATAGCATCAGCATCATCATATCATCAGCAATCGTCCTACAGAAATCCGCCTTTTCCTCCTCTCCCCTCCTCCTCCTCCTCCCCCCCTCCTCCTCCTCCTCCTCCTACTCCTGTATCCTCTTCCGCCTCATCCTACTCCTTGCTCAATCCTCCTCCTCCTCCCGCACCCTGGGTCTCCCTCTTCCGCTCCCCCCTCCTCCTCCTTTCCTCCCTCTTCCTCCTCCTCCTCCACCTCTCATCCTCCTCCTCCTCCTCCTCCTCCTCCTCCTCCTCATCATCCTGCTCTTCCACACACCGCATCCTCAGCCCCCGCGGCCCCAGAACGTCCCGACCCCTTCCCCAGATCCGTCTTTGCTGCGCCATGATGCCAGAACGCGGCACCGAAGCCCGAAACCGAGGAAAGCCACCAGGATTGAAAGAATCGTATCGTCGGAGATCAGGGCCCTCCGCCTCCTCCTCCTCCTGCTCGTTCTCCTCCTCCTCCTCCTCCTCCTCCTCCTCCTCCTCCCCCTCCTCCTCCTCCCTCCGCATCCTCCCTCCTCCTCCCCTCCTCCTCTCCCCCCCCTCCTCCTCCTCCTCCTCCTCCTCCTCCTCCTCCTCCTCCTCTTCCTCCTCCTCCCAATCCTCCACACCCCCCCTGCTACTGCTGCTCCTCCTCCTCCTCCTGCCTCAACCCCCGCCCCCCCACCACCTCCCCGGGAGGGCGGAAGAGGGAGGGCGGGAGGGAGGGGGGGGGGGAGGGGGAAAGGAGGGGAGGGAGAGAAGTGGAAGGGCGGGAGGGGGGGGGGGGAGGATGAAGGGAAAGGGGGAGGGAGGAGGAGGGGGCGATGACGAGGGGGCGAAGCACCGCATCCATAGCGGATGGGCCGGCACGCCCGAAAAATAGCGCAGGAGCGTGCGGTACAGATTTGAACCGGTTTCCGTGCAGCATTTGCTGTGTTGCATCGGCCCTGGAGAGTAACTGTCTGGACGGGCCGAGTCTGCCGGGGAGGGAGAAACGCAACGGAATTCCCCCCCCCTCGCGAGGTAGCAGAAAAACTTCAAGACCTTTGGGCCGCAGCTAGGTGGCCGGATGGCTGTCGCCGCCGTGCGACCGTTTAGATTGCCACAGTGATTGCGTACAGGCTACTTGTCCATCTTCAACCCACCTGTGGACCTCCAGCGTCCACCAGCTCAGCACCCCGACCTCCAGACTCCAGCATCGGACTTTCCGCCTCCACCCCCGCCTATCGACTGTCCCCTCCACCCCGCCTATCGACCTCGAGCCTCCAGCATCCGAGAGCGAGAATCAGGAAAGTGAGGAACATGAGTGTGATGATCGGCGCCATGTGGGCCTGCTCCACGGGAGGAGGGATCGCGATCCTGTCGGTGACCGGGGGGACCCACTCCACAGCAGGGCGGCGATGTGGGACCTGCTCTACAGCATGTCGGGGCGCCATCCTTAGGGCGTGGAAGAACAGGCTCGGCAGAGCCGAAATTCGTGACAATTTCGTTGCTTCCGTCTGTGCTGCGCGGTGCGTGAGGCACATCGCAGCACGGCACGTGTTGCAGCATGCAGTGTGTCGCTGGCGTAATTGTCGTTGCAAGAAGCACCGCATCCATAGCGGATGGGCCGGCACGCCCAAAAGGTAGCACGGGAGCGTGCGGTACAGATTTGAGCCGATTTCCGTGCAGCATTTGCTGTGTTGCATCGGCTCCTGGAGAGTAACGGTCTGAACGGGCCGAGTCTGCCGGGGAGGGGGAAACGTAACGAATTCCCCCCCCCCGCGAGGTAGCAGAAAAACTTTAAGACCTTTGGGCCGCAGCTAGGTGGCCGGATGGCTGTCGCCGCCGTGGGGCCGTTTAGATTGCCACAGTGATTGCGTTCAGGCTCCTTGTCCACCTCCAACCCACCTGTGGACCTCCAGCGTCCACCAGTTCAGCACCCCGACCTCCAGACTCCAGCATCGGACTTTCCGCCTCCACCCCCACCTATCGACTGTCCCCTCCACCCCGCCTATCGACCTCGAGCCTCCAGCATCCGAGAGCGAGAATCAGGAGAGTGAGGAACATGAGTGTGATGATCAGGAGGGTGAGCTTCAGGAGGGCTGGGAGGACGACGGGCCAGGAGGGCGGGGGGGGGAGGGGACAACTACGGAGCAAAGCCGGAGCACATCGCAAGGGAAAAGACGACGACAAGGGCGACGGTAACGGCCCCCCTCGGCCGCGCACATGCCGCATGCCTCGGGCCATGATTTGCAACCTCCCTTTTTCCACGCCCCTCGCTGTCGGGAAGACCCGCTCAAAACGGGTCCCTGGGGTCCAAGCGCACTGGCTTTCCGAGCGGCGTCCAGCCGCGCCGACCAGGAGGGCCTCCGAGGGCCAGGAAGCCACGATCCTCGACCCTCGAAGTTCGAACATCGACGTGAACCCGTCTCAAAATCGACGGGATCTGGTCAAAATCGGTCCCCAGACCCCTCCCGGGGTCCCCTGGACGCACATGTTCACCACGGATCGGTTTCCGAGGGTCCCCGGGCAAAAAAAAGGCCTCCAGGAGCCGAAACGACGAAAGCCTCCTGGATCCTCGAGGTTCGAACCTCCACGGGAACCCCCTTCCATGCCCCTCTCCCGGGCGCCCCCCCCAAGTTTTCTTTCGTTCAGGGCGCCCGGATGCCAGAGTGGCCAGGCCCCCCCTGGACGACGACGGCGGCGACGGCGACGACGGCGACGACGACGACGACGAAGACGACGACGACGGCGACGACGACGACGACGACGAGGACGACGGCGACGACGACGACGATCCGCCGGATCTGTCCGGAAACGGTGCCGGAGGCCGCTCTGGGCTCCTGTGGGCACCTCCCCCGGGGCCCGTTTTGTGGGGATGTCTCAAGCGAGGGCGCCGGTTTGGGATTCGTCCGCGGATCCGCCGGATCTGTCCGGAAACGGTGCCGGAGGCCGCTCTGGGCTCCTGTGGGCACCTCCCCCGGGGCCCGTTTTGTGGGGATGTCTCAAGCGAGGGCGCCGGTTCGGGATTCGTCCCGCGGATCCGCCGGATCTGTCCGGAAACGGTGCCGGAGGCCGCTCTGGATCCTGTGGGCACCTCCCCCGGGGCCCGTTTTGTGGGGATGTCTCAAGCGAGGGCGCCGGTTTGGGATTCGTCCTCCCCCGGGGCCCGTTTTGTGGGGATATCTCAAGCGAGGGCGCCGGTTTGGGATTCGTCCGCGGATCCGCTGGATCTGTCCGGAAACGGTGCCGGAGGCCGCTCTGGGCTCCTGTGGGCACCTCCCCCGGGGCCCGTTTTGTGGGGATGTCTCAAGCGAGGGCGCCGGTTTGGGATTCGTCCTCCCCCGGGGCCCGTTTTGTGGGGATGTCTCAAGCGAGGGCGCCGGTTTGGGATTCGTCCGCGGATCCGCCGGATCTGTCCGGAAACGGTGCCGGAGGCCGCTCTGGGCTCCTGTGGGCACCTCCCCCGGGGCCCGTTTTGTGGGGATGTCTCAAGCGAGGGCGCCGGTTTGGGATTCGTCCGCGGATCGCCGGATCTGTCCGGAAACGGTGCCGGAGGCCGCTCTGGGCTCCTGTGGGCACCTCCCCCGGGGCCCGTTTTGTGGGGATGTCTCAAGCGAGGGCGCCGGTTTGGGATTCGTCCGCGGATCCGCCGGATCTGTCCGGAAACGGTGCCGGAGGCCGCTCTGGGGGCCCGTTTTGTGGGGATGTCTCAAGCGAGGGCGCCGGTTTGGGATTCGTCCGCGGATCCGCCGGATCTGTCCGGAAACGGTGCCGGAGGCCGCTCTGGGCTCCTCTGGGCACCTCCCCCGGGGCCGGTTTTGTGAGGATGTCTCAAGCGAGGGCGCCGGTTTGGGATTCGTCGGTCGGGGGATCTGTCCGGAAACGGTGCCGGAGGCCGCTCTGGGCTCCTCTGGGCACCTCCCCCGGGGCCGTTTTGTGAGGATGTCTCAAGCGAGGGCGCCGGTTTGGGATTCGTCACCGGATCCAGCGGATCGGGATCTCCGGTGCCGGAGGCCGCTTGGGACCTCCCCCGGGGCCGTCAAGCGAGGGCGCCGGTTTGGGATTCGTCGCGGATCCGGGATCTGTCCGGAAACGGTGCCGGAGGCCGCTCTGGGCTCCTGTGGGCACTTCCCCCGGGGCCGTTTTTGTGGATGTCTCAAGCGAGGGCGCCGGTTTGGGATTCGTCCGCGGATCCGCCGGATCTGTCCGGAAACGGTGCCGGAGGCCGCTCTGGGCTCGTGCTCTTCGCGCTGGGGGTGAGGATGACGTGAGTTCCACAGAAACTCCCTCAAACCAACATGAAGTGCGGACCCAATATGGAAGGAACTCTCGCCTGAGACTTCCTCACATTTCACTCACAGACACCTGTCCCATATTCAATCCAGAAGAGCCTAAAAGTGACGACAATTACAAGGATCCGATGACCCGCTCGGATTACCAACATGAAGTGCGGACACCATACGGAAGGGGGTTTTCGTCTGAGACTTCCTCACAATTCACTCACAGACAAAGCTCCCGCTCGAGATGTCCTCCACATTCAATCCAGAGGAGCCGAAAAGTGATGACGGGTACTGGGATCCGATGACCCGCTCGGATTACCTACATGATGAAGTGCGGAGCCAGTAGGGAGGGGGCTCTCGCCTGACACTTCCTCACGAAAAAAACAACGATTAAAGGGGTCCGATGACCCGCTCGGATTACCAACATGCCCATAGGAACGGGGCTCTCGCCTGAGACGTCCTCACAATTCACTCACAAGCAAAGCTCCCGCTGGAGAGTTCCTCCATGTTCATCCAAAAGAGTCAAAAAGGGCGACAACTACATGGATCCGAAAACCCGCTCAAATTACCAGCATGAAGTTGGGAGCCAATACGGAAGGGGCTCTCGCCTCACACTTCCTCACAATTCACTCACAAACAAAGTTCCCACTCGAGACTTCCTCCAGATTCAACCCAGAGAAGCCGAGAAGCGACGACAATTACCACGATCCGATGACCCGCTCGGAGTACCAACATGAAGTGCGGAGCCACTAGGGAGGGGGCTCTCGCTTGAGACTTCCTCACAATTCACTCATACACAAAGCTCCCGCTCGAGACTTCCTCCATAGTCAATCCGAAAGAACCGAAAAACAACGACGATTATCAGGATCCGGTGACCCGCTCGGATTACCAAAATGAAGTGCGGACGCAATACGGAGGGGGCTCTCGCCTGACACTTCCTGACAGTTCACTCACAGACAAAGCTCCCTTTTTGTCGCTAATCACGGTGGGATGGTGATAGTGAGAGGGTGAGTGCGTGCGTGAGTGATGATGATGAATGTGTGAGCGAATGAATGAGTGTGCGAAGGGAGAAGGGAAGAGACGGTGTGAGGTAACTGCGCGGGGTGTCCAAAGAAAACAAGAACCCACTTTGGATGTGAGGAAAATACTTCCATTCGTGAACGTAGCAGCAGGTCGTAGGAGTGGAGGGGTACGAGTAAAAGAAAAACCTTCACTTGTACCAACCACCGTGTCTCGTACCTGCAATGAGGAAAGCGGCAATCGACCATTTCCTGACGGTAAGCGAAACAGAACACATAGCGCTGAACACATAAGCATCTCAGAAGGGGACAACGTGTACTGGTCCAAATCAGAGCTGGACTGATTGATCCGAAGGCAGCAAATGTCTCAGGCACGGACCAATCGGATTCAGAACAGAATACTCAAAACGTGATACTTGCCTTGCAGAAACTTGCAAGTCTTACAACAGAAGTACCTGTGTGGCGGCCTGACAGCAAGATTACATGCGCGGCGGCCTTACCACAAAAAATCCCACGTGGCGGTCGTTGGCGACTGAATATTCGACTTCTGGTCGGGGGGATCAAATCTCAAAGTTTCAGGGGCCACGGAAAAGTATTCCTATACACATACATATATATATATACAAACAGCAGAAATCCGCCGACCCTGTCGGCGTGTGCAGGAGGCAGCTCCGCCCGACGCCTCTCCGTCGACGTCGTCGCTGTCGCCGTCGCCGTCGGCGCTCTCTCTCGTGCCCTGGGCCCGCCGAGGTCCTCCCCTCCTCCTCCTGGGCCCTCCTCCTCGCGCGCGCTAGCCAAGACGAAGTTGAGCAACGACGTCGCCATTGAGTCGAAGAGAAGCCCCTTCCCCTCGATCCCTTCCCCGCAGGCGGGGGAAGATCCGGGGGGGGGTCCCAGGGGGGGGGTCCCAGGAGACGGTCCCGGGGAGGTCCCGGGGCCCAAAAAAGCTCCAAGACGAGTCAAGAATACCCCAAGAGGCCCCCAAGACGGTCCAAAAAGACTCCTGATCGCCGAACGCTCGATCCAAAACGTCTTTACGGCGTCCAGACGGCCCAAGAAAGCTGGAAGACGCCCGAAGAGGCCTCGAAGAGCACTCCCAAGAGTGCCCCAAGAGGCAAAATTCATTGATTTTACATAATATGTTCAATGACTT